CCTTAGATCCAGCAAGGATATGCCAGTAGCATCGCTTCACAATGTTTGGGGGTGCGTGTGTGTGCAGGAGTTAATGAGAGTAAAATCATCAGTGGCTCATGTTTGAGAATGACCTGTTTGCTTGGAAGAGTCACTCTGAGCTTACACAAAAGCATGGCAAACCCCCCAAATCAGTGAGAGTGGGGAGAGTTGGTGGTGGCAGGGAAAAGTGTGTGTCCATCTGAGAATGGATTGAGATCTTGGGAGGCAAATCTTGCCCTGAGCCTCAGGCCATATATCCTGGCATAAAGTCTCCAAGCCCTCACTCTTGCAGTGGACTGATTGTCATTCCTTAGCTGTGAAGGAGACTTTGAAAGTACTAGCACAAGTGGAGACCATTCCTGTGAATAGGACAGGCTATCAGTGGCCCCATCATTATAGGTAGGGAGTGGGAAACAGCTGTTGCCCCCACATCCCACTTGTGGCCTTCCCATAAAGCATCTGGATGGCCACTCTACTATACAGAATTCTTTAGGCTCTTCTTATGTACATGTCTTTGGAGGAAAGAGTAAAGCAGATGTGCATTATCTTCTACTACAAACCTATGTAGAAGCACCCTTAAAAAATAGAATGGTGATTCTAACCATCCAGGAAACTTAATCCAGTCAGGGTGTATCATTCCACCCAAAGTATTGGTGGAAGCTTTACATTAGGTTACATGGAGATGATTTCATGCAGGTCTAAGAGATGGGGCCTCACAATACCCCACCACAGGAAGTCTGCGTGGCTCTTTTCCCTGATGCTTTTACATGGACCTTAAAAATCTGGATGTTCTAGTCTGCTTTTCAATGAATGGCTGCCAATCTTTTGTGGGGAGCTTTTGTCTTTTATTTTTGAGATGTTTACGATGCTATATTAGTTAATTGTATCTTTATTGTGTATTTTTCTCATGGTCAGTTGCCTTGAAGAAGCTTCACTGTGAAAAGCAACAGGATTATTAATGTTTTTAATAATAGTCACAGAGCTACATCAAAAGAAATCGTGGTTTGGCACTTAGCACTGCAGTCCAAGGAAGTGAGACTCTTACATACTAAAGACCATATGCCACCTGTGATCTAAGTTCCACTCTTGATGCCAGTGAGAATTAAGCAGACAGAAAGAAGATGAAACCCACACACTGTTCTCTTAAAAGTTATTTGGGGAAGAGGGGTGGTGGAAATTCTGGTTCTCATTTTTAATGCTCATATTTAAATAGGCCATCTGTTAATCTGTACCAAAGTTATGGCTAGTAAGAAGAAAAGAAAGCAAGAAAAGAGGAATCAATATTCGCAAAACATTTTTTATTACCTTCATCCTTGGGATGTTCAAAAGCCATATGTTAGGGGAGAACTTGTTCTGAAGTTGCAAATGAATGAGCCATTGTGTAGCCCAATCTCTGGGCCATAATTCAGGGTTATAAACATAATATTTAAAGTCTAATAAGACCAAAACTTTTGTGCTCAGGACAGATCAGCCCTGCAGATAAATCTGATAATCTTTTCCATGTTTAAATTCTAACTGCTGGGGGATTATAAGCACACATTGTTCATTGGAAGAGAGAAAAGCTTGTCGAGAGAACTGGAGTATTTAATCATATATTAACAGTTTACTGAATCACTCATCTGGAGCTCACAAAATACTCCATGTTTTATGTTAAGTAAACAGACATTTTCTGTTTCAGATTGGTTGAGCCCAATGGCAGCAGAGGGGAAATCTTATACAAATTTGCATTGTGTTGGTTTCTTTTTATGTGGTCTGCCTCTCCTTTAACATTAAAGAACATTAAAAACCTACTAGCTAGGTTTCCCCACTTGGAATGAAGCTGGTGGTGAACACAACAACACCACTGCAAGGCAGGATTAGTTATAAAAGAAGATGGAAGGGACCTGAGATACTGATTGTGGGCCACGTAGCTGGACAGAAGGTAGAGCCATTACTGTGACTCATTAGTGTGAACCTTGAACAGAGCGGTCTTCTAATGCACTGTTTCCCACATATATGAAGTGTTATATAAGCAGATGGCTTGTTGCATAGTGAGTCAGATCATTAGTCCAGCCAGCCCAGTTTTGGCGATACCGACTGGCAGTCCCTCTCCAGAGTTTCGTACAAGATGCTTTTCCCAGCCCTGCCTGGAGATGCAGGGGATAGAACTTGGGACCATTTGTATTCAAGGCAGATGATCTGCCTTTGAGCTACATGGTGTGCTTGTGAATATGTACCCCAGAAGGACTACCCCCATTTGCCCCATTGAAGTTAATGAGTCAGTGTATGCTTACATAAAGCTCATAAAGCAGAGGTGGGCCCCTGTTCTTTGGTTTAGAGGGAGTTTGAATTGTCAGTTGGAGGTTGCACATGTACACACAAATGCACAAAGCATGCATACACAAAATAAGAACTCCACACTCAGAAAGAGAAAGATGGCTAGCTTACCTCCCTGCTGTGGAGCAACTGTGAGGTGCTGTGATCTGCACGCACTCTAGGAGAGGTAAAATTCTGGCCACTTTCCTTTCTGCAGGAAAGCAGCAGTGATTCTGCAGTGGAGGGAGGACTGCAGGAGACTGGCTGAAATATGCTTAAAACTAATGGCAGCTTCATTGGAAGCTGCTTTTTATATTGTGGGTAAGGAAGGGGCATTTGGGCAGCAATTTGGCAGCACTCCAGACTCTCTTGGACAAGGCACATGCCCACTGCTTCTGTAAAGCTTCACAAAATCCATTAGAGCTTTTTACCAGCCATCTGCGTAGAAGCTCATGCTGCAAACATTGTGTACACCACAGGTTTACTGAGCCCTGTCTTCCCAAATGCCCCTTTCTGTGTTGCCTGGCAAACTGTGTCTGGAACTTAGAGCAACTATAGAAGTAACTCTCACTGTTTCAGTATGAGAAATCAATATATTGGAAAATAAAGCTTAAGTTCTGGAGCATGCTCACAAATCCTTGTGTAAACCAAAAGCAGAGCATGACTCATGCACAGAACGTAGGAATGACTAATGCATGCTACTGTCAAATATAGATGTGTATACACAGAGAATACAGAGTTACATCGCTGGAGTAATGTGTATCTATCTCCACTTTGCTCCCAGAAAACTTTGTATTAGCTGGAAAGCTAGACAACAGTTAACCGGATTAATATGCAATCCTTATTCATTGATTATATTTATGTCCCACTTTTTTCCCTAAGATTCACTCCTGAAGTGTATTACCACCACAAGCCTTCAAAAGATACAATATATTACACTTACAAGGAAATGTTTTTGAAAGTCTCTTCTGTTTCCTAGCAGTTGATAATGTAATCCTAGGTGATGGCCAAGGTACCTTTCCCAGAAACAGTGCTTCTAAACATTCTGCAGAGTGTTCCTCATAGTCCCTGGCAATTGATAATATAATATAGATGATGGAAAGAGCTGCAGATGTAAATGATAAATCTTCCAGCCCAAAGAAATAGCACTCCAGGAACCATCAGTGTAGCTGTTTCTCCTATTTTCATTCGTGTTTGCATTTAGTCATTGAAAAGCCTAAAAGTATATTGAAAACTCCAAGGTAATATTGGTCTTTTTAGCATACATGACTGGACAAGAACTCCCAACCTGCAACTCTTCCCTCTCCCTCTTCAGCTGCGATGTTGTCCCTCAAAATTAGACATTGTCCTATAAGGAAATGAAATGGGAAACGAGAAGATCCATTGTGAAAGGAAAGTACTGTCCGTGGTGCTAATGCAGTAATAGGTGCAAGATAAATCAGTGCCTTCGTGTGTGCCTAACTACATGTAATATCAATTGCTTACTTGTAAAGGCATAATTGAATTTTATTTATACAATTATATATACACAAGAAGGTTTTTTTTTTTTACTGATTTTTTAGCACCACAGCAATGACACCCCCCCCCCCCACTCCGGCCGCCCAATGCTGCAATGTGGGTCAGAAAAGCAAGTTCCCATTGAAAACAATGGTATTATTTATGTCTTCTGGTTTTGACATTTGATCATAATGTTGTGTACTTTGGTTTATGGTAATAGAATAAGGATCAACCACTAGAAGGTGAATACTCTGGTAGCATTAGTGCTGTTGGTTCTATACTTTCTCATTCTAGCAAGATAGCAAGATTTTTCAGCATAAGCCGGCATGACTGCATCTTCTTTCTAATGCCACCAAGTGCAGAGATTATGATCTCAGATATAGGAAATTTCAAAGGATTGTGAATAAGGCACTGAAAAGGTCCTCTCACCACAGAGAGGTCTTCTCACAGATAATTACAGCTGTGGACTCAAGTTGATATCTGTGGAGATCAAAAAGAAAAGAATCAATAAGGCAAAATGAAAGGAAACACTGTTCTTTCGTTCAATTCCATTTTGCACCCATTGAATCTTTTTGCTGATTGAGTGCTACCCTTTTGTTGTGTTGCTGTGCTCAATGACAAATTTATCCAAATGGTAATCAAGCCTGCTTAGTTTCCCAAACCAGTGGTCCATACAGCTAATAATCCTTTCTCAAATAATCATCATTCAGAACTATACAGCTATGATAGGTGACCACAAACAAATGTTTCACAAGCCTTCTAAAGATTGCTTCATATACAGATTGACTTATCTCTTTTTTTGCATAATACTTATTCACATGCCAAATAGAACTTCATTTACAGGTCCAGCAAAAAGAAAAGCAGTTGTGAAGTCATGTATTGCTGGTGTAATATATGGAAGCATGGTGCAAAAAATGAATGTGGCAATCCTTTTTTTGCATGTGGGATATGACTATCCTATGCACACCACTGTGTGAGTAAGCCCCATCTGTAGAACTTACTTTTTGGTAAACATGCATAAGATTGGATGCGTAACTATGCATAACTGCATATAGGTTGGGATTGTTCTTATGTGAAGTTGCAAAGCCGGAACATAACCAGAAATTGGAGAAAAAATTATAATCTGGATGTTTTGCATAACCCAAACCACACCAGCTTGAATTATTCTCTCTTTCCCACCATTCCAGGTCACAGATATGATGCTTCAGGACAAGCCTTATCCTGACTGGGGAAAGTCCGCTAGAGCTTTCTGGAAAAGGGGAAACATCAGGATCATTTTATTCTGGTAGGAGAAAATTCCATTAGGTTACTGAAAATGGCTGTTAGCAAGCTTGTAGAGAACATATAATTCAGATGTATTAGTATGAATGACTTTCAGTGGGTTACTTCCAAAGAGATTTCCTCTAAATTGTAACTGTCATCTACAACAACATTCCATGTTGTATACGTATGTCTATCCAGCAAACTTGATTAAGCATTTTAAGTACAGTAGAAATGAAAATTTATACAGATCAGAAAGTAAAAGTATACACACTCTTTGATTCTTCTCTACAACATACTCATCTAGTATTAGAAATCTAGATAATATTTCTAATTAATGTATGCAATGGAGCCAAAATGATTGCAGCATAGATTCAGTCTGTGCCAACAGGTCATCATTATTATAAAAGTTGAAACTAGGAGGGTGTGAGTGGAAAAAAATCTATCTTTGTTTTCTTGTTGCTGGAAGCCTCATTTGGCCTGCAATTTATTCAAGAGAAATAGTGTTTGTTTTGGTGTGCTTTTGTTGCCATTCATGCCACTTTGGCACTCATATTCATCTCTGGTAGAAGTGGGAGGAAATGACTTCAGTAGCTGCTGAGTGCTGGTGCCCCTTCTTTTCCACTTAATTTAGTGGATATTGCATCACTCTCTGGCATATTAGGAAAAACGTAATACTAGCCTGTACAAAAAACAGGAAACAAAAATTGAAAAACTGGGGGCTCTGCTGGCAAAATGCCATTCCTGCAACCTACTCCAGCAATTCAACCCAAGAACAGCTGAACAGCTGGGGCATTGTGGGAAAAACAAAATGGTGGCTGCCAATAGCAGCTAGTAGCTTTACAACTGCAGCTTCTGGGTCCAGTGATGTTAAAGCATGCTATGGAAGGAAGGAAGGAAGGAAGGAAGGTCCTGCCACTGCTTTCAGAAAAGGTAAGGTCCAGTACCTGTGAATAAGTATCCAAAAGGGGAATCACATTTGTGTTTTCAAAAGCCATTGTGGGATGAAATTGTGCTGAATTTGGTTCTATTTTCCATGTAACCCAAAATAGAATGCATTTTTAATAAAATCCAAAGACAGGGTTAAAATAGTTGAACAGTATCTTGGGGCCTTTTAGCTTAGTAGCTTCCCAACCACAATAGAATGTCACCTTATATATCTGGCATTCCTGAAGTTTTCCTAGGGTACCTTGTCCTGCTTTTTCATATATTTGAAAATGATCCTCTCTGCTACTCCCGTGTGTGTGTGTGTGTGTGTGTGTCCCCTTTCAAAAAGGGTGTCTGGATACTACTGAAATTTGCAGAAGCTGTGTGTGATGACCTGAATACATATTTTAAAAACCAAACCAAAAGAGAAAGAATATGTTGACAGTGACTGTTCAAACCTTTGTAAAGTATAAACATGTTTAAAGGTATTTATACATGTTAAACATTTTTGATAAATAAACATCAAAGGCAACATAGCTGAAATCTGTGACTTTATTATAGGTGTGATTATGCACAAGTGTATCAATCTATGCATAAATGGAGTAAATATTGAGCAATTTGAAGTTTTACATATTTTGAATATAAACGTGCCAATTTGATTTAGGCCATTATCCCTAGGCTGCTGTGGTTTAAACGAGCCTGCAGCTTTTAATAAGCCTGCAGTCTATTTTATTTGATGGGAAGTCAGTCTCTTTGATGCTGAGAGAGTAGCTTATGCTTCTGCAGTGTAGTCTTGCAGCAATGCTTCTCCTGCATTGCAGGCTGTGACTTGCAGTGAGGGTGAGATTAAGAGAGAACAATTTTCTGGTGGTGTTCAGTGTCATTATCGTAGGGCAAGGGTGTTGAAGCACAGGCCTGTGGGCCAAATCCAGTGCCCTGGGATTCTCTAGATCAATTTACTCATTTATTTATTCTATTCTAGGCTACCCCATAGCTGAAGCTATCTGGGCAACTTATAATGATGTATAAAACAATATAGTATCATACAATTAAGATAAAAAATAAAAGAATGCCAAAATGAATTGAATATTGCTTTAAAATACAGTAAAAAAGACCTTGCAAAGGAAAAGAATCACTTCAATAATCCCCCAGACCTTTGAATAACCAAGGAGATCTTTAGAGGCTTCTACAAAGAGGGCTATCTTGACCTGGTGCCAAAAATGGCAAATTTGGCACCAAGCAGGCCACAACAGGGGATTGTTTCAAAGATGTGGGGGGGGGGGCATCACAGAGAAGGCCACACTCTGAACCTTCCTTGGGGTTGGCAGGTGGAGGATGCCCCTAGACCAGGGGTGCCCAAACTTTTTGCAAGGAGGGCCAGATTTGGTGAGGTGAAAATGTGAGGGGGCCGACCATTCAGCCTGACACTCTTTGAACCATTAACATTAAATGCAAATGAACTATTTTATGAAAGACTAAACAAATAACTTAACTGCACTAATGTGAAGGGTGATACTGAGATCTCGACTGCATTATAGAGGCCAGGTCTGGCTCAGAAACAGTGGTTTTGATGCGCAAGATGTCACGCAGGTGAAAGTCACTTAGTCTCATCCTCACGCGGTTCTTGTTAATGTTCATAACCGAGAATGTCTTCTCGCACAAGTATGTCGAACCAAACAAGCTCAACATTTTCTTAGCAAATGTTCGAATCTCTTGGAACCTGTCTTTATCCAGCTGGCGGTAAAAGTTGACAAGAGGGAGCTGTTGGTGCCGACTGCAACACTCAGCGTCACACTGCAGCTCAATGAGCTCCAGCTGCAGGTGGTCTGGAGCGTCATCCGGGTCCACAGAGAAAGGAGATGAAAAAAGCGTGATCTCCTTTTCAATAGCTGCAAAATCCTGAAAGCGCTGTTGAAACTCCTCAGTCAGAGATGAGATGTCTGCTTCATACCTCCTCCTTTGTGCACTCATATTGTTTTGTGGAAAACTGGTCATTATTTCCTGCAGTGATGGGAAATGTGTGGCATTGGGCTGCGCTTGTGCCAGGTGCCTTTGGAAAAGTAGCAGCTTGGTCCCAAAGGCTTTGATATGTGAATACAGTTGGCTTACCACTGCATTTTGCCCCTGAAGGCTCGTGTTCAGCATGTTCAGATGTCGTGTTATGTCAACTAAAAATCCAAAATCAGCCAGCCAAACAGGATCAGATAGCTCTGGCATCGGTTGTCCCTTTTTTGTCAAGAATTGTCCGATTTCCTCCCTAAGAGAGTAGAAGTGCTGCAGTGCAGACCCCCGACTGAGCCATCTTGCCTTGTTGTGATACACAACATCTCCGTATTCAGCCTGGATGTCGAGTAGAAACTGTTGAAACTGGGTGGCACAGGGCTTTGGAGCGAATATAATTAATAGCCTTCATCACCAGTTTCATAACATGATCATATTTCGGATGTTTGGCACAGAGAACTTTTTGGTGAATAATACAGTGGAGTTTTATAGCTTTGCCTCCTTCTTTGCTGACTTTGTTACAGACTAGGGTTGATAATCCACTTCACTCGCCAGCCATGGCAGGTGCGCCATCTGTAATAATCCCAGTGACTTTATGCCATGGTAGTTTCATGTCATCTACGGCGGAACAAACAGAAACAAATAAATCTGTTCCTCTTGTTTGGTCCTTAAGGCTCTGGAGGTCAAGTAGCTCGCTTTGGTTTACCGAGCTTCCATCTCTCTCACGGGACTTCCTGTCCCTTCGAGACCAGGGCTGGAGTGCCTCTACTTGGTGTTGGGCGATTGAGACAGACTGGGGATTCTGTTGGTGTACTGTGCACCCTTCTGCCCAACAGTCTCCCTGCCTGAGCTGACGGAGACTGTCTCAGACCTGGTGTTGAGGACTCCCAGGATGTTGGTCCTGGGGGACTTCAATCTCCATGCCGAGACTGGTCTGACCGGGGCGGCTCAGGACTTCATGGCCTTCATGATGGCCATGGCGCTGTCTCAACATGTCACCGGCCCGACACACTCTGGACCTGGTTTTCTCGATGGGGCAGGAAGAGGGTGGTCTGAGGGTGAGGAATTTATGCTTGACTCCCCTGTCATGGTCAGATCACTTCCTGGTGAGGTTTGTGCTCAAGAGCAACCTCTCCCTCTGTAAGGGTGTGGACCCGATTGTGTGGGTCCGCCCCCGGAGCCGGATGGATCCGGAAGGATTCCTGAAGGCCCTGGGGGAGTTTCCAGCTGACAAGACGGGTGCTCCTGTCGAGGCTTTGGTCGAACTGTGGAACGGGGAGATGACCAGGGCTGTAGACACGATCGCTCCTAAGTGTCCTCTCCCACCGGGCAGAGCCCGCTCTTCCCCTTGGTATACTCCTGAATTGCGGGCGATGAAGCAGGTTGGGAGACGGCTAGAGCGTAGGTGGAGGAAATCACGGGATGAATCTGACCGAACACACTTGAGAGCCCACTATCGGGCCTATGCTGTGGCGGTGAGGGCGGCGAAAAAGAGATTTTTTCCCCGCTTCCATTGCCTCCTCACAATGCCGTCCGGTGGAGCTCTTTCGAGTGGTGCAAGGCCTGGTTCGTCCAGGTCCAAAAGAAGACCTGGTTCCACCCTCAAAGGCCCGCTGTGATGACTTTGCCAGGCATTTCAGGGAGAAAATCGCTCAGATTCGTCACAAGCTGGATTCCACTATTGATTCAGAGGTTTTAAGGGAGAAACTAGCACCGCCGTCTGGTCCAGAATTATTGGATGAATTTCAGTTACTGCGGCCCGATGATGTGGACAAGGTGCTTGGATGAGTACGTCCCACCACTTGCCTTTTCGACCCTTGCCCATCTTGGTTAATAAATAATTCCAAGCACGGGATTGGGACCTGGATCTTGGAAGTGGTTAACGCTTCTCTGAGGGAGGGTTGGGTGCCTGCCCCTTTAAAGGAGGCGGTAGTCCGACTGGTCCTGAAGAAGGCATCACTGGATCCAGAGATGGCCACTAACTATAGACCTGTGGCCAACATCCCGTTTCTGGGCAAGGTGTTAGAGCGGGTGGTGGCGGGACAACTCCAAGCACTCTTGGATGAAACTGATTATCTGGACCCATTTCAGTCCGGC